GTATTAATTAGAATATTAAGATAATATTAGTTCTAAGCTGAAGAACGAAGACAACCGACGAGGGAACTTAGTTTTTTATAGGTTTAGGCTCAAGAAAGAAGTCATCCGCCGAGGGATTTTAGTACCGATAGTATTAGATAGTTAAGATTTAAGTTATTTATAAGGTTTATTGTGAAAGGTGGGAAGATGTAGAACTTGTGATTCCATCTACCTGCCTTGGGCCTCCACTCGCAGCAACCTCCTCGTGGTGAGGCCTGGGAATCGGTATTATCATCGGTAAAATACTGTAAACTGATGACAATATCGAGCTAATGGCTGCGAACTTCGAATCTATCTCATAAAATAACGTTCTATATTACATCGAACTAGGATTATTTTAGATTCTTCGGTGTCTCGTTTTCTTAAAATCATTATAACTTCGTTATTTCAATGAATTGAAGCATATCACTTTGGGAACATATTTTCAAGACACTATAACTTCAAGAAAGTACAATTAAAAAACTCGTCCATTTTTTTTGCTCCTCCGAACATTCCCTTAATACCGTCGCGAAATAAAGAACGTAAAGCGCTGAAGGGGTGGGTGTTGGGGTACGTATGAAGAACTGGCATCGGATCGTTCGAGTTTCCAGGCGTCGCGACGCGTAGTCTCCTCGGGTTTGCCAAGGACTCTTATCTGTCTCGTCTGGGGCGCTCGACGTCCTCGCTGACACTTAATGCTCGCGAACTGTCGAGCCAGTTAATACATTCGCGGTGGTGCATTACTCGCCGCAGCAATTAGCGCAGGAGGAATAAGTAACGCGGACTGGCCGCGCCGTTAAAACTTCAATTAAATCGCTCGTATCCCCGAGCTTCCTTTCGCCGGTGGCTTTCTTCGGTACCGCAAACGGGGTCGAAAAAAAAAGAGATACGTCTAACGAGCCGGCCGAGGGTGAAAAAGGAAAAGGGAAATAACTGGCTTCCGGGCCCCCGCGTTCGTTCAACTCCGTTTCTGTTTCCTTTTCATCGCGGAAAAGAACAAACAGTCGAGGCTTTAACGACAGACGAACGATTTGCCTATCTGGCCAGTGAAAGAAATTTTCGAAAATTTCGAATTCGGAGGTGAATGTGGTGGATAGAAAGAGCGTTTCCGCGTGTGTGTGACTTATTTGAGGAAATGATCTCTGAAAAAAACGGAGGTATTAATTTGTTCCAGATATTCGTTTTGTCGAATTAAATCACTTTATAAAATCAATAATATTTTATTCATTTTGATTGATATTATTCACTTGAATTTTACTGCAAACTTGTGGAAACATGATAGTTTAGAATGAAATGGGTTCTAGTGTTGAAAATTTTAGAATTTGGTTATTATAATTTCTGAAGTTTTACGATAAATCAATGAGTAGTTAGATATTTTCTGAAACTAATAATATCATGGAATGAAAGAAATAATAATGTTCAGATTCTCTGAACATTAAAAGTACCTACATATAATTTAAGAGTTCAGCACTGAAATAATTTTTCATTTATACTTTAATAGTTCTATTTCTGCAACGTTTTTCTTTGTTACATCATCAAAAATGTCTCGGTGGTTGTGCTCGTTCCGTGTACACTCACCAGTATGGTCGTCACGATGAAAGTCTTGTTCTGAAGATTCTCCACGATCTGAGTATACTCCTCTTTGTAACTTCTCGTGAAGTTTATTCCCTTCGTGCTGTTCCAGGTTCCTATCTTCTTCAGTCCCTCCTTGTTGTTCAATTCGATGATATCTAAGATGAAGTCTGAGCGAAATCCTTGATGATCGAACTTGATGATTCCTGTGAGTCCTGTCATTTCCACCTGAAAGCAAACATGATACATACGGTTATGACAAATTGATCTGTGTTTCTTAAACTTTTAAGCAAAGTTGAAAAATTGTAATTTCACATCGACATATAAGAAAATGGTTCTTCTTCTAAATTTCTTCTACTTAATTTCCTCAGACATCGGAAAAACAATATTTGTTCCAATTTGAAATAAAATTAACATCTACTATTTATATTATCTTCACCCTTATTTCTGGGAATATGTCTACCGTATTTCACTCGTATTTTACCCGTATTTTCAATAACCAACAACACGGAAATCAAGCCTCGAAACGCAATTTCGTAATTCTTGATTTTCATCTTAGTTTGGTATGCAGAATTCATCCTGTGAAAATTTTCCGCCTTTTTATTAACACTCTGTATATACATATAAACCATCGTCGAAAGTAACGGGGATTATTATAATCGACAATATCAGGCACAGGAACCAGTTTACGACCGGCAGCATATATCCTTCCTCATGTTTCGTTCACCTATAAACCGGCCACTAAAACGCTTACCAACGTACCCATTCCCCGTCACATCCTAGACCCTGAATGCTAATCGATGCCGTGCTAGAGTGACTGATGCTTCCTGGAGCCACATTATCGCCGGTTCGATCTCACGAAAGACAGCTTCCATGTTTCGCGCAGAAAGGAAACAAGGCTAAAAATAAGTATTATATACCCTCAACGAAAACGACGCAAAGTCATGCAAAATCGTTAGCCTGAAAGGAGAAAATTTTAGTATTACGACACAAACTATGTAAAGCAGGGACTGCGTCTGACGGTCAGTGTGGCGCCCAACTACCCTAATTGCAACGTAATTGGACGTCTCCGCGGCGCTAACTGCTCGAAACCGGGCAAAAAGCTTGCGTAACCGACGCGACAATGTTCCGTGGGACCGATTATCGATAGCCATCTTCCACCCGGTTACGAAGCTCGTATCTCCTCGCACAGAAACCAGCGTTGGATGGTTTATCGTTGGACTGGCTGAGGGATAGAGGGTTGGGGGGGGGGGTGGATGGAAATTAATTTCGCGGAATTATGGGCATCGATCGGCTGTCTGGGTAACGTAATAAGCCATTAGAACGATATGCTTAATCTGACTGTCCTCTATCCCCCTCCTGTCCCCCTCCCCTGACGTTCACCGTTTATTAACGAGCGGCACGAGTGCTGCCATGTGCAACGCACCGCGGGCATCCCAGAAACGGTGACGGACGACGCAGTAAACTGCGCCCGGCGCAGAAGGCAGAGTCAAAGGGGGTGGAAACCCCCCCTGGTTCCTGTGTTCTACCTACTCCCCCCGATTGTTCGACCAAACAATGGAAAGTTACTCCCCGGGTTAAACGAACCCGTCGCCGCGACCCGTTGACAAATTATAGCTCGCGGTTTTGCGATAGCGGGATTCTGGCAGACGACCCGGCCCCAGTCGCCGAACCGCCGGATGAAGACGAAATCGACCATGGCAGCGTGCAGCTTACGGTTGGACTATGACGTTAGGAATCGGTGGATGAATTTGGATACTTATAGCGACATTCTACCTCCATTTACCTGTATAGTCGATCCAACGACTCAAGTTATTAACTATGAACAAAGGGAGGTGATGCCAGTTTAGGTGAGACAGAGACTGTTGCCAGCAAATAGCTGAGTTAGCATACGAATTTTTTTATCATATTTACTGAATCGTCTTGTTGGGTGTGGTGTATTGTAGGTAAACGAAGTATTCACAGACCTTTTAAAACATAATAACTTGTTTAAAATTGGAACAAGGGACTTGAGTTTTTTTTGTGATGTTACAAAGATTAGTTTACTGAAGGATTTGTAAAGAAATTTGTGAAAGAGTTGCAATTGATCGAAAGCGCGGAGAACATAGGAAATGTGGCTTGTTACTACTTTTTTATCTGAGACTGTAATGAACATTTAGAAAATATATTTTTTAGATTTATATTAATTTACACATGCTGAAAATATCATCGAAAGCGGTGTACGTTGCTGTGGGATGCAAACGGTTAAAAATGTTGAAAATCGCAGTTCTTCGCGACTTTCGACCTACAACTCTAGTAAATCTTATGATTGTTACATTTTTCGATGCCTGTCGCTTGTTTCGAAATGTATTTATGAAATTATTATTTATGAAGCATTCACGATTGTTTGAAAACCAAAACCAGTAGAAAAGGTAGACTTGCACACAAATGACTCAGTTTGCCTATGAAGTGTGAAAAAATATGTTTGCCTATGGGGGTTAAATCGCGATTAAAAATTTTCATTGGTCTACTCTGTCACAACAAACCCCATCGAAACTCTTCAACTGACCAAATACCAATCTCGACTATGAAGATCCGTTCTTTCGAACAATTACTAGCAACAATAATATTTCCCTGGCAACGCTGCACCGTTCGTTGTTTCACCGGAGAAAAAACGGATCAACCATCGCAATACAAATATTGCACGACGATATTGCGACAAATAACGACGTAAACACGCGCGACACGCAGCTGGAAATCCGGTTGCGTCAAAAATCAGTAGCGCGCCGATAACGAGATACGGCTCGGATAACTATGTTTTCCCCGTTTTTATTCTTTTAAATATTTGTACCCGCTAACGATGTCCCGAGCGTTATTATCGATCGAACATGCGGGGGGGGGGGGCGGTTCGCGGGATTTCCATGCGTTGCTGTAATAATATTCGTCGCGAATGCAACAAAAAAAAAAGAAAATAAAAAAGCTTCTAACCGGATTGAAACCTGGCGTACGTCGCCTTTAATTTCGCTAATTAGTACGCGTGGCCGAGAACCAGAAACTGTATACCCTGCTACGAGGAGAATTGACACAGGCCCGCGTAATTTATCCCCGAAAATTCGGTCGACGGCATCAAAGCTGACCCAGTAATTATGCCGGTAATGGCCGTTGCTTCGCTGATATCCCCGCGACCGCTTGACGCGCGTCGCGGCGGCACCGAATTTATCGCGGTATCGGCTCGACTCACGCGATCACCAGCTTCGCTCTCCGGTCAGAATGACAATTCCCAGCGACCGGGGGCATACGCAGCGAGATATTTTTCCGCTCTTGTGACCGGTGGCGGAAATTTCCCGAAAATTCAGGGGATTCAACGCCGCGCGAATAATCGTGACCGTCGAACAAAACGCAAAACGCGAGCGAGCGTGTTCCGCACAGGTGATCGTCGAATGGACGCCGGTTAATCGGCCGGCCTGCCCGTGAGTCATTGATTAGAACTAGTCACCGAGAATATCGCGGTGTAATTACATTCGAGCACGTCGACCGGCGAACATGCAGTTCATATCACGACCCCTCGCTTGTTTCGGACAGGGACGGAAGGGGAGGGGGACGAGGCGCTTACCTGAACGTTTCGAGTCGCTGTGACGCGGAAACTATTGAATTGCTCGCTGGGTGGCTGTGGCAGGTATTATAAGGACGATGGTGAACACCCGCTGGAGTTTACTTAACGCTTGTTCAGTGCAACGAAACACAGTGAAATGTGATATAGTAGTGTGTGTTTTTGGTGTTTTGAATTATTTTTGTTTGTGATTAGAATTTTCTTTTTTTCTTTATTATTTATAGTTTGTGAAATTACATACGATATGTCAAACGAAAATAGGGTTAAATGCTATAACGAAGGAAGTTTTAGAATCAATTAGTTCGTTATAACATACCCCACTGTGTATTGATGTAGCTTCTTTAAAGCATCTTGTATGTTACTGCAAGAGATTCAGGTGTGAAAAAGTCATAGAAAAAAACTTCGCAATGTATAGATTTAGTGTTTTCCGATACCACGACGAAATAGGGGTGGTTTAAACGGTAGTTTCGCAAAATCCTCTGGAAGCAAAGCGGAAAAATGGCTGTCGCTTCGAGAGTATACCGAGTTAAACCGATAACTTAATTTCCACTTCCCATTGCAACGGTCCTTTCTTTCCCTTTGCCAATCACGTTATAGGCCGTTTTCCCATCGGAACGACGGGAACCGGGAATGTCATCGTCACATAAACATCGTTTCCTGATCATTCGTGGCGCATCCAATTGGACCGTTTCAAACGACATCGCGATAGGATTAAGGGCCAAATGGAATTATTCTCTCTTGTCGGAACAACACAGATTCCTCGTTTCTCTACTCCTCTTGGAAATCAGTTATTTAAAACAGTGTTCACTCAGGAAAATACGATAGTTTGCCATTACTGACACTAAGATTTCAATTCAGAACAGAACGCAACAGTTCGCAACAGTTTCATGAACCCTTTCAGCGCTAATGGAAATGAAGCAACAGATTTCAACACGGTAAAGGACTTTTCGATTTGTGTTTGCACAAGGAATATACATGTTGAGGATTGGCCCATATTTTTGGGACACCCTGTATAAGGAACGACATAGAGCGCGCAGATTCATTCCCAGTTTATTCAAAGTGCAGTGAACATCAAGAACTTGTGAATTTATCATTCTTACTAAAGTGTTTTGTGTCAGCTATAAGGAAATTGTGTATATGTGTGTGCTTTTTTGTAAGTAAACCTTTCAATCAATTTACGCTCGTAATAAACTCGGATAAGTCTGATACAAAAACTAGTCGAAACAACGAAAGGTACTTACGATTTTCATATAATTTATCAGCGAGTATCCATGTGGCCAGGTGTCGGTGGACTCGCAGGACAACGGCTTGATGTCGATCTGCTGCGAGGTGTCCAAATCGTGTAGTGCCTTCGCGAACAGGTGAACGGCGTCGTACATCAGCGACGTTTCAGTCTGAAATCGTTCGCAAACATGAAGAATGAAGCGTCGAGTCTCGTCTTACGAGAACCTGCCGTGACAAATTCGCGACGAATTCGTTGGAATCGTACCGATGTAAATCAGATTACGGGCGCGCGTTAAAGCGAATCGGATTGGAGCGAAATTCGCCTCTTGTCGCGACGCGGAATCGCCGTTTATGAGCCGGATGCTGGGCGAACCGACGAAGAATTCTCGCTCGTAAAAGGTAATGGTATCGTACGGTTCGATCGACCGATTTCTTCACCTTCGCTGCAAACGAACCTTCGATCGTCGATGAAACGGGAAGGGTAGAAATGGACGTATCGAAGGCTACGTAGCGCGTGTTCCCACGATTTCACGGCGGAATGACAACTTTGTTCCACGGGCGCCATTTGTATTTCGCGGGTTGCGCGCACAATGGTCGACCGGGCACCAACGAAATCGCTCCACTGTCCCGGACAAGCCAATATCCTTACAGGATTTTTACGAGGCCCCGTTCGAGAGCTATTTACCACGAAGGCAATCGTGTTTCTGATGTCGCGTTTATGTCGCGACACCGAAATTGCTCCACGAAATCTCGTCGCGCGGGATTAAAGGAGCTAGTTAATCTTGAAACACTTCGGCGACTGTCTTCCGAGATGTTTTTATTCGTAGACAGGCGACTCGTTTTCGTATTTTTATGTCGTTTCAAGGATCTGGTTTACGAGGAACTGAAGAACATGGATTGGGGGTGAAGAATAATTGTCTAAGTAGAGACGATTCTTCTACCTTCTTTATCGACGTTTGTTTTAGTGTATATGTCACAGTAAAAGCGGGAAGTTTAGGAAGTGTATACACTTACTAGTCAATGGATGCATTTATGTACGATTTTAGCAAGAGCAGGAACCGCATGTAAGAATGTATACTATTTTTGGTAAATGTATTAGATAACGCATACATTTCGTACAGCACGTTAGTAAAAGCATAATGTCTAAAGAAATTTTTTAAGGTGTAGGTATATTTAGAGAACAAAAATGAGAACTGAAAACTAGATACTTTATTTGATAACTTGAGGATCTTTTTTAAGAAAATTGGTTGTTCTTATTTAATAAATATAAGAATCTGGGTTAGGTTATATTTTTATTTGATACACCTAGAAAGAAACAATTATAATGTATAATAAATAATTCAATTACATAAATTGAAATAAATAAATGTTTTTATTATAATTTATAGGTCATATGGACAAATGTTAGCAAAAGTGTTTTTTGAAATTAATGTACTTTTGTTGTTGCATGCTTTTACTAAATCAGAAATGTAAGTGTATGCATTTACTAGCAAAAGTATAACATTCGTTCCTTGTGAATACATTTACTAACCAGATTAGTAACTGCATATATTGGCGAGGAAATGTATACATTTACCGAATTAACGTTTTTACTGTAACATATTATACAGGATGAGTGAATGAGAATAATTATCTAAAACGACTCGTTACCAATTGGTTGTATCAAAAACTGTTTCAAACGAATTATGTTGCATTTGAAGAAATTCATCAGGTGGATACAATTTGTACTTTTTTACCGATTAATTACAGCATAAAAGAACAACCGCAATAGTTAATTAATTTCTTTATTACTTTCCGTTTCGTTAGTTATTTCAGAATTTTTCGTCCAAATCTAGTAATTATGATCGATTCTGAGGGAATTTGGCTCCGTTAAAACCAATAAAATACGTTTGACCGAATTTTTCGTACGAGTACCTATTCCACTGTATGCCGTTCGGGATAACTTTCGGGATATTCGATTCTCGAATACGTAATTGTTAATATCCTTTTCACTTTTCAAAATATCGAACCGATAAATTTCACATCCGTAGAATTTTTGCGACCGCGCCTGGTGGCTGGTGCACTCGGGCCGACGATTTTATATCATCCCATTAACTGAGTTCACGGTGAACGTGAGTCGGAAACACGGACGGACGGGCCTCTCTCGCATTGTGTAATTTCGCGGGAGCGTGACTTTTCATGTTCCCGTGCATACGCTTCCATGATTTTCACGGTTCAGCTGTTTGACATCTGCGATCAGGCCGCGGCAATGATAATTCATCCGTAATGGACTACTTCGGAAAACTCTGCATTACGTTTATCTATTCATTAATCGCGGATGTCGTCGTCGACAACGCTTTGAGCTACGATTTCGTTGCGAGCCATCTGTAATTTGAGAAAAATCGTCTCGAAAAGGTGAAATATTGGGTCGAACGGAAAAGTGTTTGCGTTTTCTACGAGATGTCAGTATAAAAATCTATTGCATAATTGTTTGATACTTATTTTATTATATACGTTATCTTATCTAGTATTCTTTTATGAACTTTCTCTACAATTTTGTGTTGAACTTGACGGTTCCTCAACCTATTATAGAAATTATTCAAAAACAACGTGCAATAAGTTGATGGAGATTCTTTTCTTGTTGTAGAAATTATCCAAACATTTTACGTAATGTTACATAGAGAATGTCTGTATTTTATAATTGATAGAAGTGTTTTTTTCGTCAGTTTTCGGAGTGGTACTGGAAACCTGAAATTTTATGCAGCTCAAAACGGTGTGAGGATTTATGAATCATTCATTTAAATATATTTCTATAAAAGCTTAAATCCAACATATATTCTCTAAATGAATCACTTTAAACGTAATTGCAGAAGGTTTCCGAATCTTTTTAAGTCAGAGTGACATCATTTTTTTGCAAAATTTCATTTAAATTTATGAATAAGTTCAGGTGCATAAAGCGTAACTTAAACGAACTTTTACTTTCGTTTTCGTTGTCACTGAAATTGTGGAGAAACATTTCCGAAGTACTATAATAAAGTCAAATGCGCGTGGATGAAATGGTTCCCTTTTTGCATAAATTATCGCTCGTCGCCTTGAGAACAATTGCGTTTCAATACACTCGTGTTTTTTGAGCGAAATCACGCTTGTAATGGAATATTGAATGAAAATTGTAAATATATTACCTTTATGCAGGTGAGGTTATTCTGCTCCGCATGTGCATGAAACAGAAATTGAAATGAATTATACATTTTGGGAAATTGTACATGACGTGGATGAATATTAATATAATAAATGAAGAAAGTAATTGTTACTATTCCTTGAGGTCTGCTATTCTATAATTTTCCAATCTGATGTTACCAAAATATAGATAAGACAAATCCATTGATTCATATGTCGTGAATTAGAAAATATCCACCGTCATACTAACAACAGTAACAACACAATGGCCGTCAGACGCAGCTGAAGTCTGTTCAACACAAAATAACTGACAACTCATCTACAGTTTTAGAATTGTCGATAACAACATGCGTTTATCAATTTATCCGCAATTCTATGGAGGTATAATGATCATTTATCAGAGGCACGGAATCAAGTTAATTAACTCGAGTTTGTTTCGTACGATGCCAGCGACAGTTCAAAGGACACGATAATTGAAAGCTTTTATCATCCGCCGATATCAAATAATTGTAATTAATATTAGCAAAAACTAATGCATTCATGCGTCTTGTTTTCTTCGCACTTTCCATCGTCGTAATTGTTCGAAATATGAAATACTTCGTGACATATGAATAACGCAAGCCATTATACACATATTCAATCATATTCAAACGAAAGCTTGAACACGCATCCAATTACCGATATAAATGTTAGAGTATCCAATTAAAGAAAATCGCGAGTATTTCAGTCAGCGAGTATATCAGATAACTGACCTTTCCAATATTACCAATTACAACTAGCATGGTTCTTCAGTTCTTTTTCGTTATTTTGTTCTGAAGAAAAATATCTCCTTCCTCTCACCTTTCCCTACGTCAGTACCATGATCTCCATTCGAGCGTGAACATTCTCGAGCGTCAGTGGAAACGTAGCTTCAAACAAGACTTCCGACGTCTTCCGACGTTCTAAGATCGGTCACGTACCATCATTCACCTGCATCCGCTCAATTTTCCATGTGTACACGTATTTACATACTCGTCGTCGTCGCTCGCTGACTCGCGCGGAATCTCTAATGTCCGCTAGTCACCGGCAGTCGTCTCCTCCATCGGCGACCTCCCCCATGTTGGCTAACGACTTTCTGTTACGTGTAATTGCGCCGAGTTACGGGCAACAATAAACGCGATTTCGTATTCGTCGAATTCCCTTCCACCTCCCCTTCCCTCCACCCACCTCGTCCCATTCGGCATGCTAGCGTTCGCGGAATCCTTGTTGGCTTGTTGTGCATCGGGCTCGAATTAAAGCGCCCTTTTTTCCCAACGAGGCAATTCTTTCCGTTGGTCGCGCGATGGGAATCGAGCAGCCAACAACGCCTCGGAGAAATAAATCGAGTTAACCAGTGCTAGCCGGGAGAATACAAATTTTCCTCCCTTTTTCATTTTCGGGCCGAGGTTTCTTTGATGGAACATTGGATTCTCTCTTGGACGCTTGTTCCATTGGGGAAACGCTAGGTACACGAGACCCTCTGGAGTGCGATTATTTTATCTGGATCAGCGTTCGGTAAAGTTATCGGCTACCGTGCCCATTGTTCTGGTGTGTTGATTGGGGAAGTGTATAATGGTTCAGCGGGTGCTTCTAGTTTTTCAACAATTAGTTTCAGTTTGTAAACAGTAACGATATGTTGCGAACACCACTGGTTGTTAGGACAGAAAGCGCCTTCCGGCGTTTTAGCAACAGCACGAGCAGTTGGAGCATAAAGACTGGAGTTCAAGTAACTACGTGTTGTTCATAAAGTACCATTTGTTTGCGGAACAAGACTAGAGAGCGTAGTTAATGTTGGGCGTTTTATATTCAACACGAAATCTTGTTTATGTGTTACATTCGGAAAGATACTGTCAGTTAAGAAGCAGTAGCAATAAATACCACCGTGAAAATGGTATTACTTACGTTTGCCATGAATTGCGTAAGAACCTACTAAACGTAAAATTTCTACTTACGTCTCGCTTGACAAACCCAATTTTAGGGTATAACATTTATAGAACGATACGACTACTACATCATGGAACGATTAAAAAATTCTTTACTCAAAGCACGATAACCTAATAATACAGAAGCCATATTCGAGTCTTCTGAACGCATTCCAGGTCGCTCGTCTTTAGATAACCGGGGGGCCTCGCGAGGGGCCGATAGAAACGCAGAAAATAAGATCAGGTTCACCTGTGAAAACGCAAACAATTGAACGAGATCAGCGGCGAAAGGTTAAATAATGGATGCCCGGGTCGGTGGAAGTCACCCCGGGGCATCCTAAGGTTGCCGAGCTTTATATCTTTTTACCCACAGCCTTTCTAGCTTTCCTATACCCCCCCCCCCCATTCATTTCTTTCCCGGAGGAGGGCACGCTTGTTTGATCCCTGACCCGTTCATAACGCGGAGGAAACGACCCCGCGAAGAGCCAAAACCCCTTTCGCTGTAGACGCGCTCGAGGATGCACTTTTCGCCCAAGACTTCGTTAAGTTCGGTTTTTCTTGATCGATTGACGAGTGATCGAACTTTTCGTGTATGAGTTGCCTCTGTTGGGCCTAACTGACCGAGTCAACGATGTCTTTTTGCTTGTTGGAGGAAATTCTTGAACTTTGAACCACGGATTGTTTAATCTTCGTGCATGAACTATCGACGTCTATGTGTTCACGAATAAGAAATATATGTTAGGATTTTATCTCATCAGGGTAAACGCATCAATGAATGAACACTTAAGAGATTTTGTAATAATTGGCATATGAAAATTAAATTTTTTAATGTCTATACATTTTTGTAACTTATAGATTTCAGTTTGAAAAATTGGATAAATGTAATTATATGAATTAACAAGACAAAATATAGATTTCATCAGTGATTGAACAATAAAGTAAATTAGGATTTCTAACCAGTGGCGCGATAATTGTTAGAGTATGAAACAAGGAATTAGAAGGAATCAATATTTAATCATTTTCTTATTTTGGTAACTTAACTTACTTGTTTTTATATATAATATTCATTCACATATTTAATATTCAGCCACTGGTGCATCCACCTTACATCTTTTTTTTTGTAGATGAAATCATCCTCCAGCAAATGATTACGAATTTGAAACAACTGGTACACGACTGGGTCCGAAAGGACTCTATGTCAAGCGAGGGTTAAAGCGTGCATTGGTCTAAGTGTCATAAATTCTCATTGGTCTTAACATTGCAACCGACATTGGAACGCCTCGAATCTTTCAGAGGGATCGTGATATTCTCTCGATTGAAGAGGGTTGCAGGGGAAAATGCGAAATCGATCGAGCCGCTAGAGGGGATACAGAATTTTCCTCCCATGGAACATCCCCAGAGCAAAAATTGTTTTTTTTTGTATACAAACTGATATGAACTTGTAAGGAATTAAAAACCATTCAACATGTATTTCTTTTTTTTTGCTACGAAACGGTTTGAACGGGTGAAACAGCCCCTCGATTACTTTTACCCTACGTGTAACGAATGGTGGCTAAACGAAAGTTGTTTAGTTAAAACAACACGTGTTCAATAGTTTTTAATTCTCTATAAATTCATTCCAGTTTGAACGAAAACAAAATTTTCGCTCTAGGGATGTCCCCTTGTAACTAATATCGTATTGTAATCGTAAAACTTGCCAGTTTTAATTGCTTTCAACGTTACATAACGAACCCTAGTGCTTGTTTCATAGACAAGATTATTTCAGTTATTTACTAAATATCGACCTCTACCAACCACATACACGAAACTTTACACCGTCAAATTTCATCGTCTGCTCTCGTATCTCGAAAGTCACCCCCTCGAACCGACGATTCCGGTGAACATAGTCGATTCCTGGCACGCACGGGAAATCGCGAGAAAAAGTTCCCCGACTTGGTGACACACGATATCTCGTCGGTTTTCAGCGTTCGATGACTCCGACCCGAATAGGAACGAGAGGGGTGGAAAACGAGGAGGGAATTCGTTGCAACCTTGTCCGAAGGAATTTGCTCGACATCGTGTCCGGAAACTGTGGGAACAAGAAATGTTCGATGGAGGGATGAAAATGGGAACAATGGGAATTAAATGGCGGGTTGAATGGCGGTACACGTTGTGTATGAGGGGATGGACCAATTTACTTTGACGGATGATCGATTATTGTAATATAGAGAGAGGATCGTGTTCAGCTTTATGGGACACTTTGGACCTAAGTGCGGTTAATGCGACCACTTGAAGCGTTACACGTTAGAGAAGCTAATTTCGAAAGCAATGGAAATAAGTTTCTAATTTTCTAGGTTCAATGGATTTGATTCTACATCCAATAATCAGTCGAAAATATAGAATAACATCTTTCCGTATAATGCTTTGTTTCCAAGATAATCAATTTTCAATGTATTCATAGTGGCCATACGTAGAAACAAAATGCAATGAACAGACGCAGTAACCAAGTCTTATTTAATTACACTATTGAAGGGAATTCGGGTGAAAATGAACAGTGGAAGAAAAACAACTTGGAAGTTTGAATTATATTATTTTGATATGTGTCTTAAAGGATAAGTATTCACTGTTCCAAAATTTACCTGTTGATTGTTTTTAACATTTTTCTTAGAATAAGAAATATAGTAATTGTAGTACATATTCAACTATTCTATTACGAATTGCTTGAATAGGTCCCGCAAGAAAGTGTGCACTATAATTTGTAGAGGAACGAGTTTCTGAGTCAGCATAGATTGAAAATTTAATACTATGGTTTTCGAGGGAGCGTGAGTCTCTTTGAAAATTGCACAGAAATGTACTATGCAACTTCGCGTAACTCAATGATGTTCTAATGCTCGGAAGTTCTGCGATAATCCCTTTCAGTGTAATAAACTTAGCCTCTAGGTACCTTAGCCGGCGGAGTCGATCACTGTTCGAAGCATCTGCTTCTTCGCTACAATTCGAGTTTGTCGGAAAATTGTATTTAACCTTCCACCACTAAGGCGGATTAAAGGTGCTCTGATAAAAGTTTCTTCTCTGATCTAATTGGGCCGTTGCTGCCGTAGGAACCACGTAGGAATTCCTTCCCTATTGTAACTTCAATACCTTCACCGTCCACAGACGTGTACAAATGGAATAAAACCACATTTTTGAACTGTCATATTACCGCAGCTATTGTTTCCTGATATTTAGAAACATTCATTTTTACCAACGGTATTACTCCATGTTCAGAGGGAAAAAAGAATATCAATTGTGCTGTAATTCTGTTGGAACAAATAAATGTTTGCAAATATCAGAAAACAATAGAGCAAATATTCCATTTTATGATTTCAGTATGTTATAAAATATACAAAATAAATACAGCATACATAAATATCGAACGGAGGCAGAAGCGTGTACGCGTTATGAAAAGGTGGAATTGTACGCATTTGTACGCTCGTGTACTTGAAACTCGTGTATTCTGTGATACGATGTTATTTCGTTAGCGGGTTTAATGCGACTGATGTGAGCGTTGAACACGAAGAGGAAGTGGGTAAATTGCATAGGTAACTTCCGTGACGAAATTCCCCTCGATCGATCGAACAGCGCGCCGAAATTGGCTACGAAATTCGCTGGTCTATGAAAATAACAAGAACCTTGTTAACAGTCGGAACGGTACTTCGGTCCCGAGTTACAGAATAATTCGTTCCCTCGATTGTATCGACGGAGATCGAATGAACTGGAAATATTATATTTGCTCGTCTGTGCTCTGTGTACTTACGATGACGCTGAATTTAATCACTGAACTCGTTTAACAATATATCATCGTTCATTAATGTTTATTCGCGTATTTTGAGAGAATGCAAACGTTTCGCTGATAATTTTCGTATGTAATATTTGCATATATTGTTATATCAATTTTTATTAATCATTTAATAACCGTGATGCTTTTCAACGAGAAGAATTTCCCAAATGTAACCATCAGTTTTTAATCTACTTTCGCCAGCTTGTAGTACTTGTCGAGCTGAATACGCCCATACCTCCTATTCGGCATAAACGATTAATAGTTCAAGAGATATAAACAATTGAAGTTATGATAATATGCTAACTTTTTAGACGCGGGTTCGAATACTTGATAAAAGTTAACAGACACTAGTACGATCAACGCGATGCTACATTTATCATGAGAAAACTTATATCTTCCTCGAAATGACCGATCGAAAATGTACACAACAATCACGCGAAATCGTTCGGAGCTTCTCAGCCCCGACTCTCACCGGTGGTGGAGGATCCCATTCGTCGAAATAAAAATGCAGATTGATCGTGGGCCGGTCGAGAGGAATCCAAGCGTCCCTGGTCGCGTCCCTGCATTAAGTTTTCACAAACAGGACGATCCTTTACCGGTCGTTCGGCGGCCCCCATACCGAAAAGTTCGGCGCCCGATGGCATCCGGCGCCGAGGCTCGCGTCGTCCTTTGTGGTATTTGCATTCTTATGAGATTCGGCACGTGCTACGGGAAATTGAATTTCCCGCGGCGCTATTCAACTTTTGAATAGGTAATACCCAATTATTACGTTCGCCGGCATATTCTCGACGGAGCGGTCTTCTCGATTCGCTTGGGTCGTCGAGAAGTGAGAGAACCCCTGTGGCCCCTCGAAGACGATCGATGTACGGCTGTCAAGGCGGCATCGCGCGGAGAATGTCGAATTAGAATGTTATTATGGCGGGCACGGGCGGTTTTAACCCTTTCGGTGGGTGTTCCGTCAACTTGATTTAAAGAGACCACGCTGAATTAACTCCAATTTGTTTTACCACATTACGCAATTTATCATTTTTGTGGCAAGTATTCAAAGATATAGAATTCTAGTGTAGATGCAAAAAAAAGTGTAGTTTACATAAAAATAATATTTTCGTTAATGAATCATAATGAACATGTTAGTCTTTGGTCATTCAAGGTCATTTATTGTCATTCGAAACTGAAGTACTAAAAGAAACCGTTGAGACACGTTTAACAGAGGTAAGGTTTGCACGACAGTAAATGATCTTGAATGACTCTGAAAGATCAACATCCTATAGGTCAATGAATTCGTCACGGAATGGGCTACACGTCTATCTAAATGAAAACTTATAGGCCCATTTATAGTTAGATATGTCTGTCACTAGTATTCGTAGACGTTTTCGCAGATACATATATCCTACAATGGTATCTGAGGATAATTTTACGGGCGACGGATATATCCGTCACTAGTGTCTGTGGACCTTTTCACGAATGACGGATATATCCAAAACTGCGGGTGAAGGAGTTAGCGTCGAACAGCGTCATTCCCGCTTGTAGGTCGCCGAACAATCTTCGCCATTTGCATGCATACGGGCCAGGCTGATGAGTTCGTACGCTCGTTCACCGAGAAAATTACATCGACACCGCAGCCCTGTAACTGTTAAAATCCCTGCGTCGCGCCAGGACTCGGGGCTAATTAAGTTCGTACGCGTGCACGCTGAAATACCATCACCCCAACCCCCCTCATACACCGCTGTAATGCCTTCCTTCTATGCCGCGAAAACAATTGCGCGAGAACGAAGCAAGGTCTGCTTAAGGCTGGCAATAGACGCGCAATGTTCGAGGAACAAAGATGATTCAATAGCTTGCGAGCCTATTGGAACGATTGGGCTGAAGGAGTATCGTCCTGTTAATGGTTAGACCTATTGATTCTGCTGTTTGAATTTTTTCTAGAAGATAATTTTAACCTATTCTTTGTCAAATGTAATACAATATGTACCAACACTGGTATAGTAAGGACTCCCATACTACATGGATTTGTATATCAAGACGGAAAAATTATGGCAACATGCTTATGACACTAGTACATATACCTAACGTGGAACATATTCCCTGTGGAATAGGGGATCTACTGCATTTACTTTCACGAAAACCGAAAGCTGATGGTTTTTCGATAATACTTCACTCCTTTATTAAAAAGTAAAGTGTTTTATGTAGATATTCGGAATTCATGGTGTAGATTGTATTCATTAGTGCACTGTGTATGAGATGAAGAAGTTGAAAGTAGCTCCTTTCGTACGTATTGTTGTAGAGTTTTTATCTATATTATCAGGAAAAGAAAATTATTTAATTTGAGTTTTCTCACAGCTAAATGTTCTGTCCATATTAATTGTGTTAAATTTATGGTTGAGAAGGAGTAAGTTTTCACAGAAATTTGGTACGGTTAGATGGTAGCATTAAACGGTGAATTTGTCGTACCTTGTTGGAGCTTTGTCCCATATCGAGCTCCCTATTATAACGCTTCTCGCCGTAGATCCAATCTTGCACGACCTTCTGAATTTCTTGCTTTTCTGGGTCCACTAATCGAAAGGCAGTGATATTGGTCCCGCCGTGCTTGAATTCCTCCAGGTCGACGCTGTGCAGGTCCTGCAAGGAATTCGGTTCGCTTTATGAATCTGTCGTACGGATCGTCGCCATTTTGCATGATGTCGGGCGAAGAATTTTATTGCCTCTGAACTATAAACGTTTAATATCAGCCCTATATCGCTGCTTCCCTCTCTCCCGCGAATCGCGAAATTTATAGAACGTTCTACTCCGCGGCTGAAAATGTTGTCACGCTGCCAATAATCTCGAATTATTGTCGAATAGAATCGAGGACAGCGAAATTCGCGAACTCGCCACTCCATTGTCTACGAATTCATGATGTTCTATGCTAGTGAACTTCTAGTCATCCACTATGAATTGAAAATTCGGGAACTTAAAAATAGTACATACTTTGGCTCTACATATAATATTATTGCACTGTTCCCTGTGTTCCAAAAGAACTGGGTCGTGTTTCTGTACAGTATTGATTACACTGGTTCTATGAACATTTATTTGATTGCTACAGTGATAAGATTTACATTGACAAATTTTCCACTTTGAACATTTCCTGTGCTCAAAAATTAATAGTTACTCATAGAGTTTACAGAATAATTTGACGCAACAATTAACTGAATAACTATTAATGCTTGAACACTGAAATGTTCAAAGTTGAAAATTTGCATTTTTATTAAAAATCAAATTTCTCAGAAACTCAGAGTGATGGCAAAGAACTGTTTACGGATTCGTATTCAGCACAGAAGAATCTATAAGAATCATCGACTGGATGTTCGAGGAAAAATAAAAAGTTAAATTTTCTTGACCAGTCTAATCAATACCACCGAGGAAAATCCATTTGCTGTCGTTAAGGGAACTATGCGAGTACGATCATCGTACTGGACCGCACCACGTTTAATTTAATCGCTCGCCCGCATAGACTAATCCGTAAAGACCGATCGTGTCTCGGTTCACGGTCCAAGGACAGATATCGCTCGTCCGGTCGCGCACGCCTGTGGCTATCAGCAGAAATAGAGATATCCCCGGGAATAGAATGGAGCGGCTTCGCCGATACTGGGCTATCTACATCGTGGTGGCAGCCGGCGTGATTTAAAGTTGCCCCTTTGGCTGAAAGCACAACTCCCGCGGCCACCTTTTCGAATGCTCAAGCAGCCCTGAACACGGCCATTTATTATCCTTTGTCCCGTGGCCGGGGCAAGGATAGATAAGTCCGGTTGTTCCCCGATCCCCCGTGATGTCCTCGCGAGGGAACGTCCGATCGACAAGAGCAAGACGATACAACCGACGACGCATACCGGGGGACCGATCGATTCGCCAGGTGATCGATCATCGCCTCGCCTCCGGCTGTCCGTTCCATTCTTCACGTATGTAGACGTCACGAAACCGCCAGAGCCGACACGTTTCTTTCGCGGCTCGATAAAGTGCCCCGCGGATTCGAATAATATTCGAATCGATTGTATATTCGCTGCAAGCGTGAACGTGGATTGTGTTACTGACGTGGGAATTTTTGGGAAAGTAATGTGGAAGGGGGAATAGTGGTATCTACGGATTGTGTGAGATGATTATTAGTTAATTATGTAGTGGTGAAATTTTAGAAAGTATTTTTTCAAAATTCAAGTTAGTTCAATAGAGAATAAACACCACAAATTAGGGGTGGAGGAAAGCAATGAAGCTTCTGGAATATTTATCTAGAAATATATGGTTTCAAAAGTTACCGAAGCATTGTCGAAAGATCCAGTGGGAATATTTGTATTTACGGATTACGTGAGTTAATTATTATTTAACAATGACGAAATTTTAGAAACTATTTCTTCAAAATTCTTATTCGATTAGAAAACGTCCCCCAAACGGAGGTGGATGAAAGTAATTAGATTTCTGGAATATTTATCCACAAAAATATGGTTTCAGAGGCGACAGACGGATTGTAGAAAGATTCTATAGAAATTACAATACTTGCATCTACGGATTATGCGAGTTGATTGTTCGCTAATAATGTAGCGATGAACTTTTTGAAATCAATTTTTCAGAAAGCTCGTTTTTCAACAGAGAAACGGGGTGGAGTAAAGCAATGTGGTCTCTTAAATATTTGTCCACAAATAATGGTGTGAAAAGCTACAGAAGCATTGTTAATGGTAGACAATGTTAACAAATAACGTTCGGCGTTCCTATAGATTCGACGGAACGACGCGACGGAGAGAAACAATATTTCGATTTAACACATTGCAGGACCGCAATCGGTTGTTTCCCACGGACCTGGATGTCAATATTATCGGGGATACAGCCGCCCTCCACAGATGTACACTGTTTCTCTGTAAAAACGACTGTCGAAGTCGCGTGGCGTATCGGGGAAGGCCGTAAGTGCAGAACGTTTTTCTGTTCATTTTTACCATCGACGTACCCCAATAAACACGACGGGTTTTGTCAGCGAACGTGGAACACTCGGAGTGGCGATGGTGCACGGTTGAATTCGTTCGTAGTATTCGTTCAGTCCAGCTCAACGACGTGTTGGAAAGGATTGGAAAGAAGAGTAAAATGAAAAGATGAAATCAATAATTATATTATAAACACCAAAAGGACAATTATTCAGCTTATTAGATAAGTATTTGTATTCGTTTTTGCGTCGCTGAGGCTGGTTGCCCCCTACGTAGAGTTAAGGGATGACCTTGATAGTGTAAACCATTAAATTCAAGTTAGACTAAACAAAAAGTAGGGGAGACCCGCCCAAAAGTGGGTACCTGGGTAGGATCGGGATCTATTATTCTTGAAATTACCTTGAAATTTTTCTACGTCATTCCAGGTAGATATAACAATCATTTGCAGCAGTTCACCATCAAACGCCGACCGCGATACATGTTTGCTTACTAGAGTTACGATGTCCACAGTGTTTTTGAGTGTTCCAATCCAATTTTCGATCATTTCCAAACCTCACAACTACTGACAGTGTTAGGTGAGTACTTTTTGGTATAAATTATGGCATTCGTCGTGTATTAAAGTATAAATAAACTATAATAACCTGATTGGGTTTCTGAAGATTCGATAAATCCCGTTGCCACAGATGCTAGGGCGGTTATGTCGGGTACGGTATCTGGTTTTATCTAAGCTACGTTGCAAAATCGTACGAAATATGTATATTTAGATTAGCTATTTCTTTTGTACTTTTCTTTTTCGTGAAAAGTTAGATGTAAACTGTCGTTTCACGCAAAGATTCTTTTGATCAACCACAATTTCACTTTCTTTCTTATTTTATCAATGTCACAGTTATGCAATTTTACCCTCAGGGCCCGGTTTTACTCGAGTCTCTCGTATACGCTGTCTAATTTCTGTCCGTATCACAAGTTCAGAAAGTTTCATCTAAACTTATACTGCAGACACTTTTCACAAATACTCCCAACGAGTATCAACGTCTCAAACATACATAATCGTGAAAGTTAAGATAGGTTGATACAAAGCGTCCCACGTAAAACCAGCTCACTTCAAACGATCAATTTTTATGTCCTGCGTGACGTGAAATTAAATGTGATTCCACGTTCCAAAAAAATGCAACAAAGACACAAGGAAGTTATTTGCAACATCTTTTGTAGTAGTTTATGAATGAAACATGATGTCCCCCGGTGTAACGCTGGCTTCTTAACACATTGTTGTCGGGACACGGATAAATCCGTTTTGTTACACTGGTGGTGGTTTGCGGGACACGTAAAAATCCGTTTTTCATTGTCTGCTGGTGGAAGTCGGGTCTCGTATTTATACTTATTATTCTTGATTGGATAATGCTGTACAATGCGAGTTTCTCCCGCAAATAATGTGTTAATCAGGTGTAGCACAGCGATAAAGCTTGGAATTCCGAAGCCAGTAACATTTCTTTCAACCGCAGATTGCCATTAGTTTATGAAACATTTAATGTTCACTGTCGAGGAGCCTTCGAACACTCATCGAGGATTCACTGTATATAGCTCCTTAATCGTTCCTTCAGAACTCAGACTGATATATCCTCATCGCGAACGATCCAAAAATACACAAGCACCCAATCCGTCCAAACTATCAGCAAGTCATGTCCGGCTAACTCGGGGGACCATCGACGAATTAGCCGGTTCCCTATTAACCCCCATCCATGGAACCACTGATTCCGTACGCGGAATTATGGCCGTACCGCGGACTATCTCTCTCTCTCTATCCGCATTTCGTGGCCACAAATTTCAGCGTCTGTCCCCACGAATTCAGGAACGACGACGTATTATCGCGTCCCGCCGGTCATTACGGTTATTATGGCCGTTACGGTTATGATGATTGTTATCGTCGTTATAGCGGGCGTCGCCATTAAGGCTTCTTATTACGAGCGTTTAGTAGGCGTAACGTCGCCGCTACGAGCACGGTACCTGGGCTCCTTATTACAGTCGACTTATTTAACCGGTGTACACCTCTCAAGAGCAACGTTTTCCCCGTTTCCGTCTTATTTTTTCTTTTATTTTTTTGCCTCCCACTGGTGGCTCGAGTCGCGTTTAATTATCCCGCATGGATCGTTCGTCGTTATCGATAATAAGATCGGTTTTTCTGCCTACACGCTAGTTTTAACAAAGTTCGCCTGATCGATTACCTAGTTCGTTTATCAGTGTTTGTTTAGGTACACGTCATGGGTGATGGAATATAGGCTGTATTTTCTTCTATGCTGTTGCAATGCTTTGTTTCGACGGTACGGGCCATTGATACCGTGAGATTTTATCTGTAATAATACACGGTGTGTTTAATGGACGGAACATCAAAGGCGCGAATCGCAGCTCGTTAGATGAAAATTATACACCTACGCCGGCCGTGGGTTTCGAATTATTAATCCATTACACGTTTTATCGTAACGTTTCAACGTTGCCAGGTATTGTCGCTCGCTTCGAATGGATTACCTTTGTTTAGCGGTATCGGTCCGTGCACTTCCGCGAGCTGTACTGAAACCGGACGGTCGAACCGTTGATTGAGTAGGTAGGTACTTTCGGGATTACTCGCACAGATATATGGACAATATTCATAATAATTGTTAGTATTTAAAGAACTTCTGTCGT